AAGTAATACCCCACCACCACCCAAGTTAGTGACCCATAAGCTTCTGTGACTATGTTTCTTGTACTCATCTCTTCTCCTGAGCAGGTTTCTTCATTGCCAAGGCCAAGAGTTTGTGCCTCCAGAAAGTTTGTAACTCACTCTCAACATAGTGGTTGCATTTGTTTTCTCTGTTTTATGAGCTGGACTGGAGTGGATAGTGGGCAGCCTGCCTGCAGGCTTACGTGTTTATGCTTGCTGGCGGGGAGAAGGCAGCGAGTCAGCTAGCTGGCTGTATGGAGGCTGGAGCTGAGGCATTTAATAGAGCCAGATTCCTATGGCCTATTTTTTCTATGATGTTTTCTCTATCAACAGATACTAAAGTGGTAAGACTAATTAGAATTTATGGAGAACAGACCATGTTCCCAGTGTTCTCCTGCTAAGCACTTTGTGTACATACTTAGAGCTATCTTGGGAAGTACTCCTATAATTTAGACCCATTTTGCTCAGATGAGAATTGTTACTAGAAGAGGTGAAGCTACTGTACAGGATAAGAGTTTTGATTAGTGAGAAGACACTGATCCCAGCCAGCCAGTCTCTCTCTAAAACCATACATTCTCTCTGGGCTATAGGTACAATTACTGCCATGAAGAGTCTGTATTAAAGGAGAAGGCTTCTCACCATGGAAAAATGTATAAACATTAACCTAACCCCTTGTTTAATAGAAAGCCAAGCCCATAGAGAGTAATGCTCTGCCTGAGGTTCCATAGCCAGTTCAGTTGTACTGAAGCCACTAGAACTTTCTTCCAGTAAGGATGCTGCCCTTAAGGATCCAGGGTACTCAAGACTCCTGATCCCAAGAGTATATGTGCAAGCCCTGTTCTACTTCAGGGTCCACAGGACTGTGTGCCACCAGAACAGAGTTCCAGCCCTGTGCCTGCCAATGCCTGCCAGTCCTGGGCATTGCTGCCTTTAGATACTCTGCTAGCTGCCTTTTCTGTTGCTATGATAAACCACCCTGACCAGAGGAGGAAAGAGTTTGTTTCATCTTACAGGTTATAGCTTGTCATTGAGGTAGTCAGGACAGAACTCAAGCAGAGACCAGGACCCATGGAGGACCATTGCTTACTGCCTTGTCCAGTCTTACCTGCCCAGAAATGGTGCTGTCCACAGTGAGCTAGGTTCCCCCACATCAATCACTGATCAAGACAATCTTTCACAGACATGGCCACAGGCCAATCTGATCTGAGCAATTCCTCAATTGAGAGTCTTTCTTCCCAACTGACTCTAGGTTATGTCAAGTTGACCGTAAAAATTAACCTGTTACAATGCCAGCTGTGATGGCACATGCTTTTAGCCCAGCACTCAAGAGGCAGAGAGAGGCAGATTTCTGTGAATTTGATGTCAGCCTGGTCTGTATAGTGAGTTCTGACCCAGCCAGGATTTTGGGGCTTTGTAGTGGGACTCGGTCTTTAAAAAAAAGAAAAAGAAAAAACTCCTAACCAGCACAGGTACCTGGTGTATCTTCTGAGGCAGAAGTCCTCAAATTGTTCCCCTGGAGCCTCGAGACACTTGCCAGGAGAGTACAGGGTCAAATCTGTTTGTGATGTGATATTTGCTTTTGAATTTCATTTTTTTTTCACAGTGTCCAAGGGAGCTTTCAAAAGGCTTTTTGACACCATAGTGTCACTGTGGTAGCTTGTAGAACACTTGTGGATTTTTTAATTTCAGCATTTCCTCTGTTTTAGTTTTTGTTGGTATCATAGAATAAGATCAATATAAGCCTTTTGGGGGTTTCAGTAACATTTTAGGGTATGAAAAGAGACTTGAAACCAAAAATATCCTGGAATGTCTACTCCAGGGTATGGGACCCAGTATTATCTGAGCAGGCAGGTGGGCTGCACAGAGGGATGGGCGTTCCTCAGCCTGTGGGGCTCCAGCCTGGGCCCTGCAGCCAACTGCATTTCAGCACAGAGGGGCTCTCAGTCAACTTCAGCTGTGGAAGAAAGGCACTGAGGAAGACACACATGAGTTACCCTCAGCCCCACTCCTCCAGGCCCTTCCATTCTGAAGTTGTAACAGCCATGGAGACTGGAGATGGGAGTTTTTATAGGGATTTTCCATAATGCAGGCCTGCTCTTCTCACTGTGCCCAGTGAGCAGGATGAATTAGTAGAAAGGAAACAGTATCCTGGAATTACCAAGAAAGTCCATGGATTGCTTATCATTTTACCTGACTAAGGACCACAGGTAGGGGTGAGGGTGGCTAAGCCTTCCTTGCTTGGCCTAAGAGGTTGGTTGTTGGCAAGGTCAGCTTTGTTTGGAAATAATACACTCACTAATCACCACCCTAGAGGCAGAAGGATAATTTAGATTTCTAGAGTATTAATCAGTGTTCAGTTCAGGAAACAGAAATCACTTTAGGTATTTTAAACAGGATGGGACTTAATACAGGGAATTAGACTCTAACCAAATCACAGAAAATATTTAGGGGGCAGAGCCTAGGCCAGGCTTCCAGGAAAAGCTCTACAGACAATATCAAGCTCACCCACAGCCTCAGGCACTAGGTTTGAGCAGTTATGTCCTCTTTATGCGTCTTTGTTGTTTTCACCACTGTTGTCACTGCTTCTAGCACACAAAAGAAACAGAGCCTAGATACAAGAATGTTCTACAGGAAGAGAGAAAAAGGCTTCATGCTTTTTACCACCTGATCTGTTGGTAAAAACAGTAGGGACATAAATGTGGCCTCTGGATAGATCTTATAAAGCAAGATCTTACTTAGGAAACTGGATTTGCATCTAGACCCTCAATTGCAAAGGAGTCTGGGAAGTGTAGTTTCCATCATTCTGGTCTCTAATTAGGGTGATGCAAATGGAGGTTGAATGAGACTTTCCTCAGTATAAAATTCCGAGGTTATCCCTACTGCAGTCTAGTAAGCTCGATGAGGTATAAGGGGTGGGGGGAGGATAAGTGAGGACATCACCTGACTAGGACTTGTGGGTCCTGAACATCACCTTGGAGCTTGCCTTAGAGGAAATGCCCAGTTAGAGGTTTAATAGCATAGCTAGGCTAGGTTAATGCCTGCAGTCCCAACATTTAGGAGGCTCAGGCAGGAGAAACACAAGTTAGAGGCCAGCCTGGACTACACAGTGACTTTCCAGTGCTAATGGTTTAAGTAGTGTCCTTCTGTGCTGGCTTCTAGCCTTGTAATTCGAGAATTGAAAAATTCACAGACAGTTCAGGGCATTTCAAATGGATGTTTATATTCAGGGTAGATCTTGCAATGATAATTCAGGAATGGTTGTTTTTTCTTCCGAGATTACATGAGTTCCCCCAAGTAGTCCCACCTCCTTCATTAATCAATACCATGCCCTTGGAAATGAAGCACATTGTTTTTTTGTTTTGTTTTGTTTTTTTGTTTTTTTCTTCAAGACAAGGACTCCTATAGCCCAGGCTAGATTCAAACTCACCTTGAATCCTGATCGTCCTGCCTCCATCTCCCAAGTGCTAGGTAAATTACAGGCATATGCCACCACACTTGGTTCCAGATGTCATTCTTTTCTGAGAAGAAACATGACTTGATCCAAGTAAAAATCTGCATATATTATGCTAAGTTACAGGTGCTAACCCATAGTTTAAGTCCATCAACAGACATTTATCGAAAACCTGATGGGTCAGTTCCCAGGCTGTGTGAATACAGAGCTGAGAAAAGCATCCTTCCTGACCTTAGATCAGTCAGGGTCATGTGACACATGCCATACTGGAAGAGAGTTCTAGGGGTGTTATGGTAGGCTTGGAGAGGTTGGGTGGAGAGAGGACTTATTGGCTCTATGCTTTGAAGGATAAAGCGACTGTAGCCAGGCAGAAGTGACAGCCTGTGAGGGGCTGAAAATAAGCTGATGTTTCCATTAGGTTTCTATTGCTGTGAAGACACACCGTGACCACAGCAACTCTTACACATTTAATTGTGGTGGCTCCCTTACAGTTTCAGAAGTTCAGTCCATTATCATCTTGACGGGGAGCATGGCAGCGTACAGGCAGACATGGTGCTGGAGAAGTAGCTGAGAGTCCTATATCTTGTAGGCAACAGGAAGCTGACTGAGACACTGGGTGGTATCCTGTGCATAGGAAACCTCAAAGCCCACCCCCACAGTGACACACTTCCTCCAACAAGGCCATACCCACTCTAACAAAGCCACACCTCCTAATAGTGCCACTCCATATGAGATTATGGAGGCCAATTACATTCACACTACCACAGCAGCTGCTGGGCAGCTGTGGTTGGTGGCAGGTGTCAGCCAGAGCCTGCTCTGAAGACGAAGAACAGTGAGGCTTTACTGATCTCTGGCTTCCTCATACCCACTGTTACTTTCAGTGGACCAATTAAATTACCTAAACCCATATGTATTTCTGTAGAGAAACATCCAAGTAGCCTTCCCCAAAAGACCACCTTCCAGCTCATGTCTGACTAATCTGGTTAGGGGTTTGTTTGGGTTTTAAGAAAACTTTTGCCCTCGAGGAGGAAAGTTTGACAACCTTTCTGGCTTCTTAGAGACCCACGATGGTGATTGGGCACGAGAGTGGTGACAGATGGATGTGAGAGTGCTATCAGGGTAATGAGGTGACAGCTACTGTTGCAAAGCTGAGCTTAGACCTGGGCCTCTTACATACTTCAGCTGTGTTCCACCTTCTGCGGATAGGAAACTGATGCTCAGAAGAACTCTTGGGATGGGCAAGCATCCCAATTACACATGTTGGTGAACATCTTTTATTGGCCCGTGAAGAGCCCTCAGTTGCTGCCAGTTCCCAGTTCCTCCTGGCCTGTGACAAGGTTGCCATAGAATGCAAGGACCAACTGGGGTCTCTGTGGTCACAAAGACCGAATCTCCTGATGGCTGAGGGCAGCCGGGAAATTCTGGAGTGGACAACCTTTGTGGCTACTTTCTGAGACCAAGTGCTAAGGGGCCCCCTTCTGTGAGCATGGAGCACTGCATCCAGACCTGACCTCTCTCTGCTGCCTCCCAGGCCCTTCATGCTGCTGCCACCACTGATGGAGTGGATGCGGGTGGCCATCACCTACGCAGAACACCGCCGCAGCCTCACCGTGGACAGTGGTGATATCCGGCAGGCAGCCCGGCTGCTGCTACCAGGCCTGGACTGTGAGCCCCGCCAACTCAAGTATGGAGCCCGGGAGAAGGGGTCATGACATCCATGTTCTAACACCTACAACACCACTCTGCTTCTTCTAGTGGCTGGGTGGGCATTGAAGAGCAAGGCCGTAGGGCACCTGAGCTGTACTAAATATCCTCCACAAATGCCATGGGCAAGTGTGGGAACAGATCTGTTCTGGGCCTTGGCTGCTTTCAGGATGTGTCTTTTGCATCTACTGGTGTGCTAACTAGAGCAGACACACCTTTGAATCTGGGCTGGAGAGCACACGCAGTGCAAGTCTGGGGTCTTGATTGGCGAGGCTCTTTCCTATGCCCCTCTATTCACTCTGGTTTCCTTGTGTCAAACCCTGTACTGAGTTTTTTGCTTTATGCTTTATATCTTGGCCATCATGACAACTTTAAAGAGGCCCTAACGCCCATGCTACAGATGAAGAGCCTACAGGTCAGGGAGGAACAGCAGTTTGCCCTTGGAGGACCTAAATTTGAGATCAGGTTCATATGGTCCCCAAACTTGTGCTCTTTATGCTTCCCCACAGTACCCCTTACTGTAAACAGGTCTGCTACAGAAACTCTTCTTGGGGGAGCTCCTGATGGCCATATCCAGGCTGTGGAATGCCTTGTATTTCTGTTTTCCAACTGTGCTCAAACCATACTCTAGATATGAATTTTACACATGTTGACCTAATTACCCAGGCAGGAGCTTTTAGATGCCTCTTATGTGCCCTGTGTAGATAATGGTTGTATCTGAGAGGGTCCTTAGTAGATTGGGTTGATTGTGCATGGATTCTAAGACTCTTCCTGCCTTGTCTTGGTATTTGGGGTCTTACTAAGCAACCCAAAGAGACACAGAGGGTCAAACAAAACCTTGGTCACAATGCCCATTTCATGGGCTAAAGGTCAGACTACTTTGTGCAAGCACCATGCAGTGGCCAAAGCACTGGCCCATCACAAGCTTCCTCCTCCTCAGGGGTGGGGGGGGTCACTTGACGGGTTATTTTTATCTGAGAGTTTGCTCACTGACAGTTGACTGGTCTCAAGTGCTCAGTCCATTGCTTTAACCCATGTATAGGAAAGCCAAACTTTGCATGCTCTAGGGCAGTGGTTCTCAACCTGTGAGTCACGACCCCTTTGGCAAATTTCTGCCTCTAAAAATATTTACATTACAATTCGTAACAGTAGCAAAATTACAGTTATGAAGTAGCAATGAAAATAATTTCATTGCTAGGGTCAGCACAATGTGAAGAACTGTATGGAAGGGTCACAGCATTAGGAATGTTGAGAACCACTGCTCTAGGGCAAGAACAGCAAGACCAATCATGGTTGGCCTGTGCACACTTAAAATCCTCCCACCCAGCCATCCTGTTCCCCATGCCAGCCAGGCCCAACTGTGCCTCATGTCACAGTCACACTCATACACCTCCTGGTCTTTCCTGCATAGACCTGAATGTTGCTTCAGTTCCTTCCGGAGGCTGGATGCTCGAGCTGCTACTGAAAGATTCAACCAGGACCTGGGCTTCCGCATGCTCAACTGTGGGAGAACAGACCTCATTAGCCAGGCCATTGAGGCCCTCGGCCCAGATGGGGTGAACACAATGGACGACCAGGTACCTCCTGTGAACTCCTCTAGGTCAGGGTCAGAGACAAACTCTGAACTGAAAATTGCTAGGGTGGGAGAAATAGTCATAGTCCATGCATTCTGAACCTGAGACTCATTCAGCTCTAAGCTTCAAGCTTCTGACAGAAGGCTAGCCTGGGCATCCTCTGTCCCTCCTGAACAACCTTGGTAGTGTGGATACTGTTTCCCTGCTGGAGGGCTGGCAAAGCAACTGTCCTAGATGAGGCAGAGCTGAGGAAGAGTCCAGTGGAGCACGCTGTAAGGTGTAATCTCTGGCATATGAATGGGAGTGTGTGTGCTGACCACTCACTAGCCCCAGAGAAACTGTGTCTTCATGGGGTGACCCTGGTGAGAGAGGAAGAAACAAGCTCATAAGCCAGGGGTGATGGGTGGTACAACTGGAGGCACAGCACTCAGCAAGCTGTATCAGGGTGATCATGGGTTCAAGGCTAGCTTAGACTACATATGAATTCAAGGCCAGTCTGCACTACTAAATGAGTTCCTGTTGCAAGAAAACTGAAGGCTGCGGATGTAGCTCAGTAGTAGGGTATTTTCCTAACATGTACAAGGCCCTTGGTTCAGTCTCCAGCACCAAAAGAAAAAAGAAAAGAGGGGGGAGGACAAACACATAAAAAAGAGCACATTGATGAGAATTCCAAAGAGCAAAATAAGGAGAAAGAGTGGGAAATACTGGGGGTGATTTCTGATTTATAGGAGAAACAACTGAGGCACCAGAAGAGTCAGAAAACTCTAAGACTAGTTCTCAACCTCTGGGTTGCAACCCCCAGGGTCTCATATCAGATATTTACATTAAAATCTGTAACAGTAAAATTACAGTTGTGAAGTAGCAACAAAATAATTTTACGGTTGGGGGGTTACCACAACATGAGGAACTGGATTCAAGGGTTTTAGCATCAGGAAGGTTGAGAACCACCATTCTAGGGAGTCTGCCTCCAGCTCATGCCTACCATGGGAGGTTCAAGTGACAGTTTGGGGATCCATTGCTGTGTTCCAAATGGCACTGTGTGGTTTGGAAGCCCACCCACAAGCCTGGGGACAGTCGGGTTACTATGGATGGTCAAGCCCTGGTGTCAGGTGAAATGACAGTGCAACACAGACTTGAGCAACAGGTGAGTGAGACATGAGGCTTGGAGTGCTATGTGGGGCTGAAACTGAGCCTAAAGGGAGGGTAGGGTTGAGTGCAGCAGGAGGAGCCAGTGAGGCAGCTGTAAGCAAGGGTAGTAGGGCTAGGACTGAGAGGCCACAGAGAGAGGAGTAGCACGGTGGGGAAGTGTTAGGTCGATGTTGGTCTCATGCAGGAACTGATGCAAGGCCTCTGTGGAGCCCTTCTCCTGGCATTCGCTTCCTCGGGGAATGCAGTACTGAATCCCCGGTACTTTAGTCTACCATGTCACAGCTGAGGTATCTCAACATGTTACCCTGCCACCAAAGGACCTTGCTTTCCTCACCTCTAAGGTGGAATAGCAGGGCCTGCATGTAGAGAAGTTGGGGGAATTTTCCATCTGGCACTCTCAATGTTAGTAAATACTCTGTGGTTCTTGTCAATACGATTACTACTGTCATTGTGTTGCCACCAGAACAATGGTGATTGAAATCTGGTCTTTAGCCTGTCTATGTGCCCAAGGATAGTAATAGCATGAGAAAGCAGTTTCCCTTCTCCAGCTCTTGGTCTGGTTTATGCTCTGAATGTGTACAGATGTGTGCAGAAAAAAGTCATTGTGTGAGTGGAACAAAGCCAAATTCCCATCATGCTGCCACTGTCTGTCTGAAGATGCTCAGCACTGTTGCTCCCTGCATTTAGAGACAGATGCATAGGTAAACAGTCCACTCGCCCCATGATTAATCTCAAGCCATTTCCTTATCTCCAGGAACTAGACAAGGATTTATGAGCCAAGAAGATCTTCGCTCCACACAAATAACCTAATAAATAATATCACAGAGCACCAGACAAATGCTTGCCAGGATCCAGCTGTGGAATGCACTTTCCACTGTTGCCTTTGCCATCAGACTCCCAACCCTGCTAACTGCTCACGTAGAAACAGTGAGGGAATGGACACGGCTTGCAGTATGTTCTGGACTGCTCATTAGCACAAGACATGGTCAAACACATCTTCACAAACACACTGCCGAGCACAAGCTTTAACCATTCATATAGGTCACACACCTTTAATCCCAGCAATCGGGAAGCAGAGGCAGTCAGATCTCTGTGAGTTTGAGGCCTGGTCTACAGATCTAGTTCCAGGAAATCTAAGGCCATTACACAGAGAATCCCTGTCTCTGGGGTAAAAAAACAATTCATGTAGACCTGGGTTCTGGTCCAAGTTCCACCTCTTCTTGTTATAGGGCCTTGGACAGTTAACTCCCCTTTTCTGCCCCACGTGCATACATTGAGGATAACAGTAGAAGCCCCCACCCCCACATAGGAATAGCATAATGATTAAATAAGATACTGCATAGTGGGCCAACTTCTTATAGTGAGTCCAGGCACTGGTTTGTGATGGCTATTGTGTGCAGTATAATAGTTACTGTTAATTAACTCTCACTTGGGGTTGTACGCTTACTCCATATGTACTTTGTACATGCTAATACCCTTCTGCAACCAACTGAGGCACACTATTTCTTCACTCTAAGAGGAAGAAACTGGGGCAGAGAAAAGAACACCTTGGACATGGAACCTGGCTGCAGTGTGGCCAGTGCCTGCAATGTGGCCATATATTTTACCCCTATGCTGTCCATAGTGCTTGTGGAAATGCCTCCTACTAAGCCTTCCAGTGTCCTCGGCCCTGGGAGCTTAAGATACATAAGGCACAGGACAGCCCCCGAGGGGCAGCTGGGCAGAGACCTGTGGGATATGTGTCTGGAGATTCAGCATCTGCCTTTGATTCACAGGGTATGACACCGCTGATGTATGCCTGTGCTGCTGGGGATGAAGCCATGGTCCAGATGCTAATTGATGCTGGAGCAAACTTAGATATACAGGTAAAAAGAAACTCCTCCTCCAGACACTAACCCAGTGAGAGGCCTTTCTGGGGTATCCAGCAGCCAGGCTGAGTGTGGTATTTTAGACATAGTCAGTAGATGTGTGTCTCATTAGACTAGACATATGCACAAAGACCACAGAAAAAGAGCCAGGCATGGTAGCACACTCTGAAGGCTATGGAATGAAGATCCCAAGTTTCAGGCCATCCTGTGGTATGCTGAGAAACCCTGTTTAAAAACAAGCCAAGAGAAGAGAAATGGTGGTCAGAGCAAAGAGCACTTCCCTCTAGATTTGGGCTGAAGGGGGAGATGAATTGAGAGAATGGCCATGATTCCATTTTCATAGCCCGTGGTCTCTATTACGAGGCTAATCCCTAACTGTCCATCCTGTCTCCTCCTCATACATGAAGTACTCCCCTTCTGTCTTCTTTTGCCGACTGGACACTTACTCTTTTCTTTTTGAACCTTGTCGACCCAAATGCTCCTAACAGACATTACCAAGTGAACCTAGATACACTTCTGTTAGCTTCACTGTCCTCACAGTGTATCTCCTTAGTTAAGGTACCTGTGTCATCTGCTCTGGAATGTCACCTGTCTAGGAAATAGTGATGATTTTTTTCTATTTTTCAGGTTCCAAGCAACTCTCCCAGGCATCCTTCCATCCACCCGGACAGCAGACACTGGACCTCACTGACGTTTGCAGTGCTGCATGGCCACATCTCTGTAGTGCAGGTGGGTCCTATGAGGTGCAGCATGTGCCTTACTCGGCTCCCCTGTTGGGCTGGGCCCCATGCTTAACCCTGGCCAGAGACTCCTCCTGACCTGTAAAGCTCACCTGGCTTGCCTTGCGGTTAGTGTAAGGACACCTGTAGAATTGGAAAGAGGAGATCTGGGCCTAACAAGTGCTTCTCTCAGTGAGTCCCAGAAGACCTGGACTTCAGTCTGCCCAGTTTTACATTTCCGGTTTCTTCTGGCCACATGCTCTCCCTCAGAGCTGGCTCTGCATCATGCTGTCCTTCAGTCCTGTCCCTCCCCATCTCCCAGTTACTGAGAAAAGACAGATGGCACAGCTCATGTGTCAGGCTAAGCCTCACTGATGCACACCTTGCTTGGGCTGCTATGGCTGGCATCACAGTGAGGTGATGGTTCTAGAAGCACAAGTTGTGGGCAGAAGCAGTACCAGTGACATGACACTCAGTTCACAGGACCTCTGGTCAGTAGAGTCTGCAGGACTTCACAGAGCTAACCATGGGGTCAGCACCACTCCCTCTTCCTCTTCCAGGATGCAAGACCTCTGTGAGTAGTACAGTCAGGCTTGTCTGTGATAGCACAGCCTGGCATGCAGCCAACACTCTGTGGGTAGTTGTTGGCCAGTTGGCTACTGCACCCAGCCTGCCTTGTAGTCACTGCCTTCCTAGAGCTGGTGCCTCAGTTCAGGCTGTGCCCTGGACTGGACTGGTGCCCAGTTTCATCCAGCACACAGGTCTCCACCCCCACTGCCTTGCCCCAGCGGTGAACACATCTGGTTTCTGACTGACGAGTTTCCAGCAGATGCAGGCCATCCCTGTGCCCCACACCCTACCTGGGCTCCTCGAATCCAGGGAGAGGTGATCAGAGACTTGAGGTGTATGTTTCCAGGAGTCTGGGAGTGTGTGAAGCAAGACTCCTCTGCGGCAGAATGCAGACAACACTCCTGCCCCAAGGGAGACCCTTTGGGAACAGATAACCCTGCCTCCTCTGAACCCTTGCAAAGCTGTCCTTGCTAGAATGAGGCCACTTGCACTCTGGCTAGCCTGCAACATTCTGCTCTTCCCCACCCCTTGCCAGCCTAGGTAGCCACTGAGCCTCTTCAGGGATGAGCCCAAATGCTGATGGTTATGAGCCCTCAGTGGGTTGGGCATCATATCATTTAATCTCCGTAATGCTGCCAGGCAGTCCTCTCTCCCCACTTTGTAGATAGGGAAGACTAAGGCTCAAGCCACTCGAGTCAGTGGCCAGCATTGTACCCCATGCTTTCTGCACCTAGGGATTTCAGGGGACACTTCCTTGTGCTGCTCATCTATGTGAGTTCTCCAGAGGGTCCCTGAAGCTGATTGGTGGGAAAGTATTGAAAAGAGAAAAGTAGTTGAAGGTTGGCATAGAAGTACAGAGCTCCCTGAGGGTGACCAGGCATCCTACGACTCCAGTGTGAGCCATTCATGGTCACTTGTTTGGAGACTTGCAGGTCCTGCCCCTAGAGCACTCCCACCCTCCCCAGGCACCCTGTTGTGCTGAATTGTCCCTTCTTCCCATCCCTGACAGCTGCTGCTAGATGCTGGTGCCAATGTGGAGGGCTCGGCAGTGACCAGCGGGGAGGACAGCTATGCTGAGACACCCCTGCAGCTGGCTTCTGCAGCTGGTAAGTACACTGCTGTCCTGACCAACAAGCCTTCATATCACTATGACATGCCTCGTTATCCTGGCTGATCAATGAGTTATATGCTACTTCTGGGAACCATTATGATCGCTCCTTCTTGGCTGCTGGGAGGGGGTCCTTACCTCCATACCCCAGTGTTTTTGCTGAGCACAAGGTCCAGTAAGGCAGGGAGCCCTCCCCTCCTAAGGCCCTAGGCAGGGCCCTGTGGTAAGACACAACCACCTTCTCTGACCTTCCACTTGCATCATTATCAGCCCTGAATATGACTGTCATCCCCCCTACCTCGGCCGCCACACACACCCCACAAATTCCAAAGATCAGATCTTGGAGACTCGTCTGCCCCATCTTTGCTTCCCTACTCAGATACCATTCCGTCAAACTTTTTGCTGCCACCTTGTCTTTCAGGGAACTATGAGCTGGTCAGCTTGCTGCTTAGCAGGGGTGCTGACCCCCTCCTCAGCATGCTGGAAGCCAATGGCATGGCCTCTTCCCTCCATGAGGATATGAACTGCTTCAGCCACTCAGCTGCCCATGGCCACAGGTACAAATCGTGGAGTGCCTGCCCTAGGTAACCAGGAACACTGAGATATGCTCTCAGGAGCCTGGGCTTCCAAAGGCTGCAGAAGAGCCAGGCCTGGTGACCTTTCGTGAAGCCAGGGCTCAAATGCATGTCAACCAGGATGATGAAGGTTCTTGGTCAGCATGGTGGCCCAAGGCTTTGGAGGCCTGGGAACACTGGATAAGTTGCTGGGTCTTGATACACTGGCACTGACTGAAACCTGTAGCTGCCAGGGCCACTCAGGACCACACCTCTGTGTAGCCAGTGCTGGTTTTCTAGTGCCTGTCGTGGTCCTGGGGTATCCCCCGGGTTTCCACTCAGAGCATGGGCCAGTCATGAAGAGGCTGCTGGAACAGATGGCAGGCCTGCCTGGCCTTGTGACTGGCAACAGCAGACTGAAACCAGAGCCATTAGGCAGTATTTGGGATGCGACATAGAGGGGAACAAAGAGGTTACTCGAGGGCAGGGAAGGAGACAGGAAAGAAAGACTGGTGGGCAGAATGCCATCATGCAGCTTAGGGTGTCTTCTTACCACTACTAGACCTGTGCCCCTGCCATGCTCCTTTCCCCAGACCCCACACCCTCCCCATTAATGCACAGGAAGAGGGTAGCAAGGGTTGAGAGGCTTGTCCATTGTGGGGCACGATGCTGAGGAGGGGCTGCTGAGCCATACTGTGTGCATCTGATGACTGGCACCAGCCCCAGGAGAGGGTGACCCTGGCACCATCTTAAGGTGGCAAGGCAGCTAGCCCTTGGAGAGGTAGAAGAGCCTGTGACCATACAGCTGCATACAGAGCTGTGACTTCAGTCACACCAGGACAGGAGGGTAGGGTCCATGTCTGGGGATGGGGGATGCTGAGAGCCCTCAGATGCCCTAGAGTAATGCAGCATAGCCACAGGGCTCTAGAATATAGAATATGGGCACTGTGCATCCATCCTGAGGACCCCAGGGCTCACCTTGCTATCTCTTGGCCTACAGGAATGTCCTAAGGAAGCTCCTGACTCAGCCACAGCAGGCTAAAGCAGATGTGCTGTCCCTAGAAGAGATCCTGGCTGAGGGTGTGGAAGAAAGTGACACATCGAGCCAGGGCAGCAGTGAGGGGCCTGTGAGGCTAAGCCGGACCCGCACAAAAGCCCTGCAGGAGGCCATGTACTACAGCGCCGAGCATGGCTACGTGGACATCACCATGGAGCTGAGGGCACTGGGTGAGGCTGAGCACAAGGGAACAGTCGTTCCACTGCTCTAGAGGTCCCAGGCTTCTGCTCTCAGGCCCACTGTCCTTTCTGATGGGACATCAGGAGTCCTCATAGGACCCTGAAGATTCCAATGATCTCTGTGTATCTGGCTGCTCAGCCAGCTTTCTACTCCTAGGATCTGAACCTGTGGCTTCTGTGTCCTCCAGGGAGGCTAGTCAGCTGGACCGACTTGATCCTGTTAAGCTGTGTACCACGTGATCTCCCCCAGTCTCCCTTCCCTCCTCTCTATGGGTTAGTGGTGATGATCTTCAGCTAGAGCAGGAGGCATGGCACTGTTGCGGGGCCAGATGCCAGGCCCCTAGAGTGGCATCTCAACCTTCCTACTGCTGTGACCCTTTATTACAGCTCCTCATGGTGTGTGATTTTGCTACTGTTGTGAACTATAATGCACTATGTGTGTTTTCTGATGGTCTTGGGCAAGGGTCATTCAGCCTCCAAAGAGTAATGATCCACAGATTGAGAACCACTGCCCTAGGGTCTGGCCATCTGAGGGAGCCCCAGAAGCATCTCTGAGATATAACTGGGTTTTGTCATGCATTTAACACACTAGTTTTAAGTTGCTCCCATGGCCCAACTCACTTCAGGGAACTCCAGTTACTCATATGCCCCACTGTGCACAGATACACCAGTGAGTTAGATGCTGCAAATTCTTCCATAATGGGACCTAGGCCATTCCTAGCTTCCATACTGGAGGCGGGCTTTGTGTCCTTGAGTGCCCTGCATATTTTCTGGGTCCATCTCGTCTTCCCCCACTGAATGGGTTCTTCTCAGCAAATAAATTCTAGGGCCAACAAGTAATAGGCCCTGAACTTGGCTGAAGATCTTCCTCCATGTCATCTGATAAAAAGCCAAAGCATCCTATGCCCTGCCAGCTGGGCCTGACAGGAAATCCAACATTGTCCACAAAGCTCAGCCGAGGGGCATGCAGCACTCAGTGGGGCGTCGAGGCAGAGCCCAGCCTGGAAAGGTGTGGTCTACAGGTTGTGCTTTGCTGGGAGGGGATGATAAAGCCCTTCTCTCTGGCCAGGTGTCCCCTGGAAGCTGCATATCTGGATAGAGTCCTTGCGGACCTCTTTCTCACAGTCACGGTACTCGGTGGTGCAGGGCCTCCTGAGGGACTTCAGCTCTATCAAGGAGGAAGAATACAATGAGGAGCTGGTGACAGAAGGCTTGCAGCTCATGTTTGACATCCTCAAGACCAGCAAAGTGAGTGGGGCTCAGAGAGCTCTGGGTTCCAGATCCTAGGACATCATAGAAATTTACATGCACAAACATCTCATCCCCCACACATGGACAGACACAGGCAGCCCCAGGCACATGGACAAACACCTCCCCAACACGCAGAGTTGCACACCATGGCTGCCAGAAGGCAGAGGTCATGGCAGTCTGGGCTGGATCCCAGCCAAAACAGCCATTTGGGAAATCACAGATGAAGTGACAGTCCGTTCTGGCCAAGTCAGATCCAGCAGGAACAAACAGCAGCGGCTGCTCTGATCCTGGCCTGGAGTTTTGAAACAAACCTGATGTAGCCACAGCCAGCCAGCCAGCCATGCGCACAGGCTGACAGTCCTTTCCACCTCTCCCTACAGAATGACTCCGTCCTCCAGCAGCTGGCCGCCATCTTCACACACTGCTATGGCAGCAGCCCCATCCCCAGCATCCCGGAGATCCGGAAGACACTGCCAGCCAGGCTAGGTGTGGGCCCACCCCACTCGGGCTTGTCCCCATGCACTACTCTTCCCTCTCTCCCCATCACTCTTGCCTCATTTCCTGTTTCCAAGGGTCAAGGCTCTAAGTTTCTCTGTTCCTTACTTTGTAACCTTTGCCTGTCCCCACCTCTTTTAGAGGCTCTGGAGATGGACACCCTGACACTCATTCTCTTTGTCTTCCCATTCACAGATCCTCACTTTTTGAACAACAAGGAAATGTCAGATGTAACCTTCCTAGTGGAAGGAAAGCTGTTTTATGCACACAAGGTCCTTTTGGTGACAGCATCTAACAGGTAGGCAGCCTGGGTAGCAGTGCCAGCCCCAGGGACACAGTGCAGTTCCTTCAGCATTGAGGTGTGTTATGTGAGTCTTCCTGAGGAGATGTAAACAAGCACTCCAGACAGGACACTAATGGAATCATTCCCTAAATCTAACTTAGAAAACCAGTGAGGTGGTGGGCTTTTTTGGGGGGGCGGTGGGTGGTGGATAGAGGAGTTACTTGAAGGAACATGATGTCTGTGTCAGCCCAGCATGCAAGCTGCAACTCTGAAGTTCCCAGCCTGACTTTCCCAGTCTCCTCTATCCAGGTGTTATTGCTGCTTATATAACCTTAGGGAGACAATGTGAATTTTGTAAGTTTCAGGAGCTTCCTTAGAACTGCTTTGTTTATATCCAAACCTTATTTCATCTACTTGGGAAGAAAGAAGTACACCAGGTGACAGAAGTACTGGAGAAAGGGGACCAAGGGGATATTATAGTCTTTGCCCTGTGGTAATAGAGCTCCTACCTGCCCCTGGGGTACAATATGGGCCAGACTGGGTGCAGCAGGAGCAGAGTCCAGCATGCAATGGAAGTTCAGAGGGCTGCTTTCTGCTCAGTTACTGCAGCTGACTGGTAGAACACAGAAGTATTCTGGAATGAAGAGCCAGTGCTCTCTCACTGCAGGCTACAGGTCACTGTGCAGGGGAGTAGTGGTAGGGACATAACAGAGCTGGGCCCGGCTGTTAGCCCAAACATTAGTCTGGGAACATGACAGTCATTTTTAGTGTCTCATCTCCCAGAAGCTGCTCAAATGACAGTGCTGTTGGCACAGCAATGGATCAGGCCATGTTCAAGCTCCACCTTGTCTCCTTGTTCCAGGTTTAAGACCTTAATGACCAATAAATCAGAGCAAGATGGGGACAGCAGCAAAACCATTGAGATCAGTGACATCAAGTACCACATCTTTCAGGTATGTGGGCCTTATCCATCTGGTCACTCTGTCCTCTAGGCCTGTGTGATTTACCTAATCGGTGATCCCTGTGCCACACTGATCCAGCGTGAGACAGGGCAGCCTGTACATAGGCATAAAGGATGAACGTGTGCAGGCCCTCATTCTGGAGTAAGCTGCTGAAAGCTTGCGGGAAATGCAGTGGCCTGGTCCATTAGGCAGTAAGAGGTACAGGCTGCCCCACTCCCCAATAGTCCCCTCTAGATAGGAAAAGCATGGGGAGCCAGTCTGGCCTTTGGACTCCAGTTGCAGCACAAGAAGGGTCTGGAGATTTGGTTGGGGTCTCAGCTAAGAGGTACTTTGCAGAAAATGGGGCTTGCTGGTCCCCAGGTGTGTATGTTTGGTGGATTGGTGCTAAGACCTATAGATCTGACCCCCTTCAAGACAATGACTACATAGAGGCCCAGTGTCATCAAGTAGGTAGTGCCAGGCCCAGCCTTGCTTGCCTGGGGCAGATTAGTATCTCATGGAAGAGATCACAGAATCCTTACTACCATCACTCAGAAGTACAGAGAGACATCATCTGGACCAGGAGTGGTGACAAGCTCTTACAGCCCCAGCCCTCAGGTGCTGAAGTAGGAAGCTCCTACACTAGTGGCCAGAGTGGACTACAGTGTGAGACCTCAAAATGCAGTGCTTAATCCTTCAACCTACTCTTTAGTCACTAATGTCAAACCAGTCAATCTGGGACAGAGGAATTAAGAGGATGGGGCCACCCTCAGTGAGACAGGGCTGTGACTTGTCAGCAAGTATAAGACACTTCCTGGATAAGTGACGGCCAGGCTACAGTATCAACAACCAGTTAACAAGACCTCAGCTGTACATACGGTGTCCCAAAGCCAGACCATGAAATCTTGAACATCAGCCCCAGGACACAGGGAGCTCCAGTGAAGGGTGGGGCTGATCACTGGCACTTCGTTTTTAATTCTTTGACGTTATTTTTTGTGGGGGGCATAGTCTGAGGTCTGCGCCCCTTCTGGCAGATGAGGAGTCAGAGAGTTTGAGTAGCTAGTCAAGGTAGCACAGCTGGGAAGTGCCACTTGTGGCAAAGAAGGCATTTGCTAAAAGCTCAGCTACTAGATGAAAAGTAGAAGAACTGGAGGGAAGAACAGATGGGACCTGGGACTCAGTGACTGGGTGCAGGGGGGGGCAGTGGTAGAGCTCTGGGACTTCTGACCTGAGTGGTAGAGTGCCCACCTTGTCTCTCTCAGCCCTGGAGAGGGACAGCTCTAGAAGCTTGTTTGGCCTTAGTAGCCAACAATTGCAAGTGACTGAAACATGGAGAGCAGTGCTCAGATATAGGATGGCCCTAGAGAGCTGCAGGGATTATGTGTGGGCTCAGCCTTGGGGTCGAGGAAGGGCACCTGTGCCAGGATAGGCTGGCAGCTCCTGATGAAGGCAAATGGGGTCAGTAGGCCTAACATGGTGGCACACACAGGCCTTGGAGATGTTAACCCTCAGCTCCTCCCCAGTGTTAGTCAGTTGTTCAGATATGGGGCAGGACACCTACCTGCCTTATCCCATGGATCCCCTGGGCCCATCTAACTTTACTCCAGCATATCAAAAATACTTCCACGTATGCACTCCAGCATATCAGTAGTATAAGGAATTGGGATTTTTCTTTTCATAGTGCTGGAGACTAAACTTAGCAGAAGGCCCTATCGCTGAGTTACATCTTGGAAGAGCTGACCCACCTCTGTCCCAACTGACTTACTCCTGGTGGCTGAGGAGACACACAGCACTCAGGGGACATACACTACTGAGCCACTGTGTAAAGGCTGTGCAGGCTCCATCTGGGGCTGCAGAAGCCATGGGAGCCTGGCTTCCCGATGGGAGCCTGCCAGTACCTGGCTGAGCTGCCTGCATGCTGTCAGGCTCTCTCCTAGACCCTCTGGTGCCTCTCCAGCCTGAGGGCTGGTCCTAACAGTGTCTGACTGTGCCGGCTGGAGCCTTGTTTACTCACACGCCTGCCAGCACCTTGCTGGGGCTGTTTCTTCAGCCAACCAGAGAGAATTGTTTTCCTTTTCCAACTGGGAACTTCACCAGGCTCCAGTGTAATGGCAGTATTTGTGATATAAACCTCATGAGCTGCCCACTCCTAGGCCCGCCCATGAAATCCCAGCACCCACTTCCTGAGAGCCCTAGGCAGGTCTCAGCCAGGCAGCAAAGTGAGCATTTCCTTTCTTGGAGAGATCTGCCAAGGTATCAGAATGTGGCCTGCTTAGACAGTTGTCCCTGGTACTCTCGCCGCTCAGCTCCACATAGACTTGTTTGGCTTTTGAGACAGTTTCACTATGTAGACCAGACTAGCCTTGAACTTGCCATCCTCCTTCAGTGTTGGATTACAGACCTGTACCAACATGCCTGGCCCATCATAGAATTCACTTTACACTTTTGTTGTGCTTTGAGATGGGGCGTCCCGGGCTGGAGAGATGGCTCAGCTGTTAAGGGTAGGCTCACAACCAAAAATATAAGAGATGGGGTACCCCTGTCTGGCCTGGTGATGTATGGCTCAGGGTGGGCCTCAAACTTGAGCAATCCTCCCATCTAAGCTTCCTGAATTTGGGATTATAGGCATATACTAGCAACCTGGTTCATTTACTTTTTGGTTTTGATTTTTTGAGACAGGGTTTCTCTGTGTAGCCCTGGCTGTCCTGGAACTCACTCTGTAGACTAGGTTGGCTTCAAACTCAGAGATCTGTCTGCCTCTGCCTCTGCCTCCCTAGTGCTGGGACTAAAGGCATGCACCACCACTGCCGCACTTGGCTCATATGCAAATTTTGTACAAAAGCAGCAATGAGCACATTGCAGGGGTGGAATGTGGGGTGTAGGGAATCCCTGCTGTGGGATCAGAACCCAGAGTGATTTAAGGAGTCATCTTCCTTCCTGGGCTACAGGGCTTTCATAGGGGAAAGCTCATTGGCATGGCATGGCATCAGAGGGTGGCAGAGTTGGCAGCACACAGGTGGTGTTTACCCAGGTCTGTTTGCACTGCAGATGCTGATGCAGTACCTTTACTATGGAGGAACAGAGTCCATGGAGATCCCCACTGCTGACATCCTGCAGGTAAGAGCAGGGTGGGCAGCCCAGAGTCCCCCAGACCTTCAGCTCTCAGCCTGACCTCAAGACACATGGGGCCTGCTACCTGAAACAAGGGCACTTACAGAAACCAGAGACTGGACACACCCCTAAGCCCAGCTTTCTTGGTCATGCCTGTGGTTAGAAAGGTACAGCAGGATGGTTCAGCCCAGGAGGAACAGACAGTGGCTGAGCCTCCTGCTCACCAATGGCTAAAGCACACAGCTCAGGCTCATGTAGGTAAACACCCTAACTTGTAGCCCACATCTGTCACTCATCTTGTACCTCTGATATTCCTGCTACTTGTGCCAAGATGGCCTAGAATAGAACCATTTCAGGCCACCATCTCTTCTCCTCAGACAGTCTGGCATGTGGGCTGGGTCCTGGGACTTAGGAAGGAGCTTTCATTCCAAGGGGCCTGCCTTTATCCCCTGACTAGCTGCTGTCAGCGGCCAACCTGTTCCAGCTGGACGCCCTGCAGAGACACTGTGAGATCCTGTGCTCCCAGACCCTCAGTGTGGAGAGCGCAGTCAACACCTACAAATACGCCAAGGTAAGGGCTAGGGATGCCCAGCCACTTCACAGCACAGGCTAGGAAATGCATGTGACCAGACCACATGAAGGGCAGCAGAGGGACTGAGGGACCTTAAAGCTCCAGCTGAAGTCACTGGTGGCACTGACACTGGCTCAGGTCCCAAATCAGAGAACTCAGTTGACTTAGAACCATCTTTACCTCTAGGCCACCTACCTCTGAAACACATCGGCAGTCTCGCCGCTTTCTTCACTTCCCATTGTGCTACCCTGGTTTCTGTTTAGGGCAGCAGCATCCTCCCAGTCTGTCCACATCCTGTCTTCTCCATGCAAACCTCATGTTTCTTTCAAAAGTATGAAGCCATCCATCCCCTACTTAAGCCCGCTCAACTAATAGAAGCCAGCCCATCGCAACCTTGACAAGACTCCCAGGATCACCTACCTACCTTCATTTCCCTTCCCAGCCTGTTCCTACCCTAGGACTGCAGTGACAACCCTTCCCTCTTCCTGTAGAGCACTTCCCAAGGATAGCCAGCCCTGTGTCTTCATCAGATGGTATCCCTAGGCCTCAGAAAGCTTTTATTGTTCATCTGTAGTCACCTGGCTTGTCTCGTTGATTCCTTGGGTTTTATCCTCCCTGTCCCAGTACCCATGCTCAGAGCCACACTCAAAGGCACTAGTTGAATTAGCACAGCTATGGAGCATTGCCCATGACACCCCTGTGACCTTATGCTGAACAGTGCATAGTCTCTACCCTTAGAAAGGAGCTGTCCAATAAAGGTGTCATCTGTGACATAGGTAAGGAAAAGGAAAACTTAAACCAGGTACTCCCAGGAGATACTCACAGAAGAGAAGGTAGCCTCCAGAGGCAGATAGGGACATCTGAAGGTTGGGACAGGTTGGGAGTAGTATATAAAGGCCATGTTTCATTTCTTTCCCTACCACAGATCCACAACGCCCCAGAGCTGGCCCTATTCTGTGAGGGCTTCTTCCTCAAGCACATGAAGGCCCTGCTGGAGCAAGATGCCTTCCGGCAGCTCATCTATGGCCGAAGCAGCAAAGTCCAGGGCCTGGACCCACTGCAGGACCTGCAGAGCACCCTGGCTGAGCGAGTACATTCTGTCTACGTCACCTCCCGGGTGTGAGTCAGGGTGGATGGTGACTGCTATCTGTGGGTGTGCGAAGGTCTGCTAAAGCCAGGAACACAGCCACCAGTGACACCCTCAGTGAGGGAGGCCGATAGGCCCTTTGGAGCTAGGCATGTAGGGGTTCTTCCTGCTCTTCCCCCAGGTAACCCTCTGTGGTTTTGACTGATCCTTGGGTGGGCAGAGAGCCCACTTGACTGTTGCTCAACCAGTAACTGCCAAGGGAATGTGACATCGTTTGCACTGTGAGGGCTACCTTGTGTCCTCTCCTGCAGTGGCTCAGCGGCAAGCTGATCCACCCCAGCTCCAGTTCTACCATCTACCTGGCCGGGGTTGTGAGGAGCATGGACATTCTTATGAATGTGGATTATGTTATCCTGAGCCCCCGGCCACTAAATGCCACACAGAAGAAAGGCTCTCTAAATCTGTCCCCAAGCTGTGCCTTTGAAAGGGCTGGTGGCCCCTCTGTGAAGACTGGGTCTCTAGTGGACCTCCTGCAAGACTACTAACTTGGAGTCTGAACTCAGAGCTTTTGAGTTGAGGGTGTGATGAGGTATGGTACAGGAACACGAGGACCTCAGCTCCTGCTGCTACAGCTGGTATCCAAAGTGAAGAGGTAGGCTCTAGGACCCCGCCTAGCTCTAGTGTGTCTGGAGACTCAGGCAGCAGTGCTTCTGTGGCCTCTCAAGTGCAAGGTTCCTTACACTCAGGACTAGAGTGCAAGAGCACACTTCTCTCTGGGATCTGTGACTCTTGGACATGAAGGACAGGGCCTTGGTGGAAGAGAAGGGGTGACCCCTCCCCACCCTCCCCCCTCAATCTTGGCTTCCCATCCTCTGGCCTGTTTATGGACAGATTCTGGGACAGCATCAAGAACAGCTACCTTAGAAACTATTTATTCATCAGAAGCCCCTGGGGCTTGCAATCCTGGAAAATATTTTCAATTCAGCTGCTTGTGCTGGATGTACAAAAGAATGAGTGGTATTTTATTGCTGTAATATTGTATGATATTGTAACTATACCTTAATGTTGTCACTTACTGTAAATGTACTATGATTTTATCAACAATAAACACTCATTAACAGTGCCTTGGCATCTGCTCCTGGTAAGACTGCCTAGAGTTCAGAGCTGGAGAGGAGTTCCATTGGACCATGGGAGAACCCAGAGCTGAGTCTGTGCCACTGGGCAGAAAGACCCTACAATAGAGCTAGCATGTAGCCATCCACTCACCTGCCCAGGTGCTCAGTCTGATTGTCCTTACATGGGTGATTTCTTCACCTGGGAAACGAGGCAGATGCAAATTTGTGTCATTGGGCTAGAACAGGACTGGGGAGACCCATCTGTGGCTTTTCCTGACCTTTTGGCCCAGGCCCCTCCATAAGAAGGATGAGGTAAGGAAGCTACTTAAGTGCCTGCAGACCTGTCCCAGCTCCACACTGCATGGTCTGAGAATTACCTGGTAGAGGTAGGATCAGGAGTTCAAGGCCAGCCTGGGCTAGGAATCTTTGCTAAATATACCACCCACCCCCGCGTCTTGTTAAGATCAGTGGGAACTGAACCCAAGGGCTATCGCTTAGTAGCATCCTGGAACTCTAGCTGGAAGACAGACAGACTCCAGGAACTAGTCCCAGGAAAGGCACATTCCTAGCTCCGCTGAGGTGGGGGCCAGGCAGAATGGCTTGAGCCTCAGTCTAGACTCAGCAGTAAGGGCGGCTTGGACAGGTGCACCACAGTGCCCTCTGGGGGCCACTGGAAGGTGATGCCATCCTGGCACAACCCTGTGAGGGAAGAGCACGAGGTCTGGAGTGTCCTTCCTCCTGGATCTGTGTCTGACCACTCCACCTCCAACAGAGCTGTGCTCAGCTGAAAAGGCAGGTGTGCTTACAATCTGGATCCAACCAGTTCCTCTGCACAGGTGTTAGGAGGATTAAATGAGTTATATGAAATAGGCAATCTTTTAAATGAATATTTGAAATAATCATTTTTAAAAATATTGGGGCTGGAAATAGCTCAATGGGACACTTGCTGTGGAAGCATAAGAGTCTGAGCTCAGCTCCTAGCACCTATGTAAACTATGTGTAGCCACGTGCACCCCTGTAACCACAAGCAGTACTGTGGGGGCCAGAAATAGGATCACTGGGGCTTGCTTGCCTAGAAGAGACTCCCTCTCAAGGGAATAAAGTGGAGAGTGACTGATTGGGACACCCAACATACTCTGGCCTGCACACACATACAGGTTATGTTTACCCTCATTCACACACACATTTTTGTAGGAGAAAAAGTTTGTTCTTCGTAGGACCTAAAAGCAGCAACAGAAGTATGTGATCACTTACCCTGGGGCAGCTATTCAACATCATAAGAGCTTCTTATGACTCCTCTGTCAGCTTCTCACTACTAGCAGCTAAGACAGGAAGAAGCAAAGTCCTTGGGTCATCAGGGCTGGGTGTATCAGTAATGTACCCAGAGACAGCAGACGAGGCTGTATGTGTGCAGCAGGTGTCTGAGACCCAACACAGAAGCCACCAGGGCCAATCCCAGGCTCCAGCCTCTTTCCTGATGCTGTGTTTTCTGTAATATGCTGGGTTCCTTTCTTCTTAGGAGTCCCCTGTGCAGATGAAGGGCTGACAAGTCAGAAAGTTCCCTTTACACATCCCTGAGATTAAGCAGTTGTTTCCAGAATCCAAGGCAAGCCCTTCCCTGTAACCTGAGACCACCCCTCAGACTCAGAAGGCCTTCCAGACCCATGCGTTTTTCAGGCCCTCACACACTGCTAGGTTGCAATGGTTTCAGGCCAGTCTACATTTTCCCAGGATGACTGTATTTTCTTCCTGCCCCCTTCTCCTAGCCTCAACACAAGTACACACATCCCTCTGTCACTCCAGCATCCTTTGGGATTGTTAGGACCAGATGAGCAGTGGGAACAGTACAACAGGCTGGTATCAGCCCCTCATAGCTTAGGGGTGGGGAGACAATGAAGGAGCCCTCTCTTTGTTCAAATCTTATCAGCCCTTTTCCCATCCTGGTGACACATGCAGAGCTGGCCCATCTGACTTCACTTGGAAGTACCACTCCTGAGAGAAAAGAGCTTTACAGATGTCATTCTCTTGGGGGCCAGATGGTGAAGCCTGAAGGAGGCATGCCCTTCAGGATTGAAAGAGACAAGATGCCGAGACCTGCTTAGGACACAGGCTTTGAAAAGGACCTTGACTACACACAGCAAGTGGAGGCATTTGCTTCCTTTTGTGTTCTAGAATCACCTTGCCCAAGACAATTATTACCTAGAGCTGCGCACCTCCAGCTGCAAGGCACAGGCTGTGCCACCTGCATGTGTCTCTGGTAAGCTAAGGCTTATTTTAGAATATGGCCAGTCATTTTATCACCTCAAAGCAGCTCCCCTGGTTAGACCTGGGGAGCAACCAGAACTCAGACTGGGCCCATTGTTGTTCTAAGCAATTCCCTCCCAACCCACTGTTCCTCATGGCTGGAATGCAAGTGCCATCACCACCACTCAATTGTGACTGACTCACTTGGACATGGAGTGAGGTGAAGCCACATGTCATTTATTGTAACAGAATGTCTAAGGCTGAATAGTTTATGAAGAAAATTAATTTCATTGGGGAGGCAGAGGCAGGTGCCTTGATTTCTCTTGATTTTGAGGCCAGCCTGGTCTACAGAGTGAGATCAGCCAGAGCTATATTGAGAAGCCCTGTCTAAACAACCAAAAACACACACAGAGAGGGGAGAGAGTCTGGAAACTGCCAAGCCCAAGATTGAGAGGCAGAATCTGATGAGGGCCTCGTTGGTAGTGGCTCTGTAAACAGGGTGGCTTCCCCATGTGACAAGAAGGCTCATCTAAGGCATAGCAGGCTTTTATAATAGGCCTACTCTCAAGTTCTCAAGTTAACCCACTAAAGCACTTATAACCACATTACCTCTTTTTTTTTGGGGGGGGGGGTGGTGTATGGTTCCAGACAGGGTTTCTCTGTGGTTTTGGAGGCTGTCCTGGAACTCACTCTTGTAGACCAGGCTGGTCTTGAACTCAGAGATCTGCCTGCCTCTGCCTCCCAAGTGCTGGGATTAAAGGCGTGTGACACCAATGCCCGGCTACCACATTACCTCTTAACTGTTCTACATGGAGACTGGGGACATTTGAACCACAGTGCTCAAGATCCCAAAGCGGCTCAGGGAAGAGCCATATCCAAACTCACATGGCCCCAGCCTTCCAGTCCTTGGACTTGCAGTCTGGACAGCGCCAGTGGACAGTTGTAGGGGCAGGGGACAAGACGGGTGTGCAAGCTGTCCAGCTCTTCTCCGCAAGCACCTGCATTCTAGTTTCTGGCCATGCTCTCAAATCTTCCCTGAACAGTAGGCTGGGGAGGCTACCCAAGAAAACGGTGAAAAAGACCTCTTTCCTGGCTCTTTGGCAAGCTCCCCTGCAGACCAGTAGTAGGGGTGCAGTCCTCGGGTAGGCACAGAGCTTCTCCCACAGGGTGAGCCACATGTTCATTACCTTTGGTCTAGAAGCTTCCTTCCTTGTCTATTAGACTTCTTGCTGCCAACTAGTGAAGATACTGTTAAACATTGAGGCCAGGGTATGTGTGAAGCCACCAGGTAATTTCTGTCTCTAACAAACAGGATGAATGGTAGAACCCAGCAGGAGCCAGCTGACTTTCAAGGTGACTACAGTGCCACTGGGTACCTACCGCATCTCTTGCAAGTACCCAGGTTGAAACTCTAGCTACCCAGCACACCCATGACCTTGATCCCTAGGCCTCCACTTCTGAGCTGGAGAAACTCACCAGAAGAAACAGGGAAACATGCAACTTCCACAGATGTGGATTTTATAAGCATCACAGGCAAATGGCCTACGATGTCATTTATTAAAAAATACTCTAGCCCTCCCCTCACTTCTGCTAGCAAGAGTCCTTCTTGGCAGTTTCTCCCAAATATAGAGACAACAAAAAGGCACTGAGGGGATCAGACGCTGCAGCCTACCTAAGGGCTCAGGCTTTCCTGGGACACTGAGAACAGCTAACCTGTTGCAGCCAGGAATGGAACAGAAGGGACAGAAGAGGTCCTGCTGACCTAGGCCAAGTCTGCAGTGACACAGCACTCCACATGGAAGCTGTATGCTGGAGGTTCCGGAAGGCCAGGAACCAGTGTTCCAGAAGTGGGACCAGGCCTGAAAGAGTAAAACCATGGCCCTGGGGTAGAGTGACAAGTCCTTTGGCAATGCCAGAGTTTTCCCTACCCACCAAGTCACCAAGTTCTAAGCAGACTGGGAGTCTTCGGCCCCAGAGGAGGACACAGATGGATGACGGGCAGGCCTTACTCTGCTGAACACTCATTACTGTTACTGCCCACACTGCTGCCCGGCCCCAGGCCAACACAGCTCACACGTCTGGCATCTCCTCGCGTGTCACTACTTCTTCCGTTTCAATTTTGCATCCTTTCTGTTGTTCATCTCTCTCTTCTTCAACTTCTTGTTCTGTTTGGGTTCTTGTTTTGTTTCCAACTTCCTTTTCTTGTCACTGGAGGAAAAAAAAACACCACCAGGGACAGAAACCAAAAGCATTAACGGCACAGATCTGCACCACCAGACCGCTGTCTAAAAACTGACCCTCGCCCCACAAACCTGACACCCAGAACATTCCCTGCAAACCTCCAGGGATAGATAGCAGGCTTTCTTGCAGGGCTGAGACTATATCTCAAGGTCCGCCCTAACTAAGGGCAGCATCTGCAAACTAGCCCAAGTTCTCCTCAGAGCACTAAATGGTCTCCTGTCCCAAGATCGCAAAACCATAGCCAAAAACTTAAACCCAAACCCATACTATTATTCATTTCAAACAAATGCTTTTCAGTTTCTCGGTTTTTAATTTTTCTTATGGGAAGTAGCAACAAAAAGGAAAGTACTTCAGACCCAGGATTCTGAGAACCACTGGCCTAGAGGAAGGACAATGTGGTGACTCAAATGATACACTCTACAGTGGACACACCAACTCTGGCCCTGTCCTCACTGGCCGAAAAGAAGCAATGGAAACAGTTGGCGCCTGGTGCCAACTCTTCCAAGGCTTATATACAGCAGAC